CCAAGTCACGAGAGGCAAGGACCTACATCCAAGATGACTCTATCCAGCAAAGCTTTCGTTTAGAATGGAAGAACAGATAAAGTGCTTCTCAGATAAGGCCAAGTTAAAGGAGTTCACAAAGCCCTTATTATATGAAATGTTAAAAGGACTTATCTAAGAAAAACAAGAAGATGAAAAATATGGACAGTAAAATGACAATAAACTCACAGTTATTAACAACCACACCAAAGACAAAAGCAAACTAAACAAATAACTAGAACAGGAAGGGAAGCACAGAAGTGGAGACCACATGGAGGGTTAACAACAGGAGAGTGGGAGGAGAAGAAAGGGGGGAAAGGTACAGAGAATAAATAGCATAGATAGTAGGTAGAAAATAGAAAGGGGAAGGGTAAAAATGTGTAGGAAATGTAGAAGCCAAAGAACTTATATGTACAACCCATGAACATGAACTAAAGGGGATGTGTGGGTGGGAGGGGGCGTGCAGGGTAGAAAGGAGTGAAGGGGGGAAATGGGACAACTGTAATAGCATAATCAATAACATATATTTAAAACATTGCTTAAAATGTACAAAAGTGATTGAAGGAAAACCTGCAAGCAAGCCACCACCTTCTCTCTAAGAGATAATGTAAGCACTTTATCACTCCATACCCAGAATTCTGTTTCTTAAATAACTGAAATATATTTGACTTATAGCATTGTGTAAATTTAAGGTGTACAACTTGTTAATGTGATACATTTATATATCATAATGTGATTGCCATTGTAGGGATAATTAGCACCTCTACCATGTTACATAATTATCATTTCTTTTAAGTAATTGGAATAATTAAGTTCTAGCCTCTTAGCAAGTTTGATAAGAATAATATAATATTGTTATCTAAACTCACTGTATTACACATTATTTCTCTAGAATTTATTTTTTTATTTTAATCATTGTTCAAGTACAGTTTTCTCCCTTTTACTCCCAATTAGAACTTATTTTTTTAATGGAATTGCCATCTTTTTTTTAATCTCTTTTTTTATTTTATTTATTTTTAGAGAGGGAAGGGAGGGAGAGAGAGAAGCATCAATGTGCGCTTGCTGGGGGTTGTGGCCTGCAACTCAGGCATATTCCCTGACTGGGAATCGAACCTGTGATGCTTTGGTTCGCAGCCTGCGCTCAATCCACTGAGATACGCCAGCCAGGGCATTTCTCTAGGACTTATTTGGTACTCGTTATAGGTTTGAACCCTAAGAAAATATCTGTCCTGTTCCCCCACCATCCATACCCTGATAACCACCATTTAATTCTGTTTTTACAAGTTTGACATTTTAAAATACACATGTAAGTGACATCATATAGTATTTGTCTTTCTCCCTGGAACTGTTTATTCACCCTTCCTCCATCCTTTAGATAAGGGCACGGATATGAGAAAGCAGGCAGGAAAAATCCCACTGAGTTACTAAAGATTAATCAGTGTTCATACTGATGGCCACAAACCAGAGAGAAAAGCAGTGGATTCTCTCTCCTTGATCAAATAATATACTGTTAATTTTAAAGATATTTTTCTCAAATATTTGTCTTAAAAAACAGTTGGATAAACTCAACAATGTGGATAGATGAGATGGAACTTACTTGCTTTTTTAATATTTATTTGACCTTTGATCATGAAAATTTGGTATCTAAAAAAAGAGGGAAATGTTAAAGATTATCTGATTTCTTGTTACTTTTTCCAATATTTCAGGGGCATCTACCTACAGGTTTCTGTTTGCTTTGCTTTCCAGTCTGATTCTGTGTAAGAAGTCACCAACTGAAATGCCTAGAAAGTTCAAACAAGTACTTCAATTGTGAGAAGGAGCCTGGGCATAAAAGGATTGAATTATCAGAGATACTTCCTTCCACCACTAAGGCACTTCAGCAGAGGAAGCCAGGTTTAAGCACTAGGAACACCAGTAGACTATCTGAAAGTTGGAATCCAACCTTTATTTGAGCTTTTCTAGTTCAGCTCATTTGCCTTGTATTAAGGGAAAGACAAATTGTACACAGCCACTTTGCTAGGGTGCAGTTATTTTTTCCTACTTGAAAGCCCTTGGTTAAATATTCAAATCTGTCTAATCCTGCATTTTCCAGCTTTTCAAGGATATTAACTTTTCTCTTGCTGAAACCAGGATAACAGCATCTACTTAAAATAATGCTTAACACATGATAATTCCTCTTTCCCTACTTTTATGTTATGTAGAAAGGGGGATAAGAGGAGTAAAACAAAATAATTTCAGAGGATGAATTTGAATGGTTGGATTTTGTAAAAAATGTTGTTTTTTCCAACTTTGTTAATAGACATTATACACGTGTGTTCAGATACACACGCTCACACCCTCCCACATGGTAAACATGGTATTTAATTACTCTAAAGTCATCAATAACCTCAATTTGCTATCTCAGTATAATCTATATAGAATAAAATGAGATTCAAGTTCCTCTATAATTTGGACTTAACAAGACTTACAGGTTTGTTTCTTTTCTCTCTAAATTGTCAACCTATGGGCAAGTGTGAATTGACCACTATCCTTCAGAACCTTAATGCTGCTTCTGTGAAGTACTATGCTGTCTGCCCATCTGGAATGGTTTTCATTTATCTACATTTATTTAATCTGCAAAGTCCAGCATATGCTTCTCTCTCCAACAAGATTATCTCATTGTATGTGATGGATACATTTGGTCATACTACTTCTACTGAATTGTATGTTTCTTAGATGATTCAGCCAGCACACACCATGCACGTACACATAGACTTAAATAATGTCAATTCCAGTAGTTTATACCTGACATGATGAATAAATAAAATGAGTAATAAATAAATTAATATGATTGTGATATTTAGTTTGATTATTTTTTCATATTAAAATAATCCAGGATTGATGTATCAAACTATTTTTCTTGAAGATAAGCTGGAGAGTGAAAGAGATTAAGAGAGAGACAATAACAAGATTTTCTTAATATGTTAATGGTGTTAATTTACATTTTTGATATTAAGTATATTCTCAAATAATCATGACATATTTAGCCCAAATATCCAAAGTTAGTCTAATTTTATAGGTTATATTCCAGAGTTGCTCTTCATTACACATTCTCTATGGCAATGTATGAGTGATCCAGTTTCCCTGCATGCTTGCCATCATTTGGTAGAGTTATTTTTTTCTCATTTTAGCCACTCTGATATAAGTGTAGTGGCATTGCTTGTTGTTTTAAATTGCATTTATTTAATGGTTAATGATGTTAACCATATTTTTGTGTTCTTATTTGCCATCTGTATGTCCTCTTCAAGAACATGTCTCATGCCTGTCCATTTTCTAATTTTATGAGGTTTTTTGGGGAACTCTGAAATTTGAGTATTGATATATTCTAGATATTAGTCTTTTTTTGAATACCCAAGTTGCAAATATTCTCTCCCACTTTATACCTTATATTTTAATTTTTGCAACAGGCTCTTTCACAGAGCAATACTTTTTCCTTGTATATACTATAAATTTGATATAGGAAGAACTATTTTCATAGGCATAGATCCCAAAGATTTTTTGCTTTTTTTCTAAAAGTTTTCTAGATTTACATTTCTACATTTAAATCCATAACTCATTTTGAGTTTTTATAGTGTAAAACTTAGTTCAATGTGTTTTTCTTCTTTTGTCTGTGCAAGTCCAATTTGCCCCAGAAACCATTTTTTGAAAAAGATATCTTCCCTCCATTAAATTGCTTTTGCACATTTGTCAAAAGTCAGTTAGGCATATCTATATGAGACTATTCTGGGTTCATTATTCTGTTCTATTGATTTATGCATCTATCCCTCTGTCAGTTCAACTTAGCCTTAATTACCATAGCTTCCGAGGCTTGAGTTTTTAAAGTGTATTATCAGTGTAATATATCACTCATTTTAAGTTAAAATTGTTTAGATAAATAATATTATTTTTAAAACGGGGGGATGTTGTAACATTTCTGTTTACAAAAGTCATGTAGTTTACTTACTATTGCATGTGGTTTTAAAAATGTCATTAGAGATAACACAGCGAAAGTTGATATAAAAGGCCAAGCAAGGTATGTTATAGGAAAAAAAATCTTTGATTGCAATCTCCCTGACATTTTTCAGTGTAAATTAATTATCTGAAATAGAAAATATAAACAACTCATCTAAAAACATAGCACATATGTATTCCAAATGACTAAAGCCATTAAACAGAAGGTCCTTTGAACTGTGAAATTTCATGTGCTCAAAACCTTTCAATGAATTATATGAGGCTTTCTGTCCTGTCTATAAATTTTTATTGTCCGTCCTAAAGCACATAAAACTTTCCTGAATGATTTCAATCATTTTCCACAGAAACTAATCTGCTGATCTGGCTTTTCTGCATTTACTTTGCTTTTTAACAGTGTGAATTACGTCTAAGTACAAAAGACTCAGTAACCATACATACTGCTGTATTTGTGCTGTAGAGCTGACATGGAATAATGAAACCCTATTACAATAAGAATATTTTCTTTGTTTGGTATGAATTTCTTGGCTTGTCCCACTTTCAGAATTTTCTACAACCTTGAGGCTTATGCTTAAATACTACCAAAGAACTCATTCACCATAACTTAAATAAATGTTTTCACCAGCCCTTTCCCACTATCCACACTGCCATTCAGGACCCAGCCATTAAGAAAATCTGTACTCAAGTACAGACTAAGGCTAACTCGAAAATGTCAGAATCCCCCATTTGTAAAATTGTTATCCTGAAACAGTCCCCTCTGAAAGAGGTGGACTTGGACTAGCACCAGTACCTGGCAAATTGCCTCCTTTATTTGCTAGCCAGGTATGGAAGAAAGGACATTGCCTACAAATTTCTCTTGTACAGCACTGACCATCAGTGAACCCTGTGGCTATTGATATGCCAAGTTTTATTTAGGTGAGTAGACGGCTAAGGAAAACTGTGAAATATCACCTGAATTTATCACATAGAAAAGTTTACAAAGAGGGTAACTTTACCTGTTTGACATCATATGCCAGGAGAACATATTTCAAATCTGGTGAAACTGAATGTCTTGATGCTTTGAAGGTTACCTAAAAACAAAACAAAATAATTATCTTTAAAATCTTGACAACAGAGAGAGTAATGTACATTTGGAGATTACATTAATTAATGATATTTTTAAAAAATCTCAATTCTCATAACCCTGTTACATAGATATCCACATAATTGTATTAAATATGCACAGGCAACCACATATGTGTGATTATACAGATAGATATAAAAATTAAATTATATTAGACATTTTATTAAGAAAAAATGTGCTACCATATCTTTTCTACATGTTACCACTTTAAAACTATGTTAATATTTTCATTATAAGAAATAAAAAGCAAAAACTCTTTGAACTTTGTAAGTAACCATAATGCTTTTATATTTACATGTTCATCAAAATGAAAAGAAATACACACTCTGTGATATCATGATTTTATGACTGTACTTTTCTTATAGGTTGTAAATTTATATTTGGAGAAGACACCTATATTAATGACAGAATCTCTTTGAAGTAAACCCTGAGAGTGAAATAGTTTAAAACACAAATACATAATTGTTATATACATAAAACTCTATGTAAAACAACACAATACCTGATTAATTTTGACCTTATAATCTTATCATTGGATAGACCTGATATCAGAAGAAAAATTGAAAATAAAATGAGGAAGAAATACATTGAAAGTGGAAAAATAACTTTATTTGCAATAAAGATTATATTTAACTTCCTATCTCAAGCAAAGGCAAGCAAATTGAGTTGATTTATCAAAAGCCTACAAAATACAAAGAAAATAAAGTACATATGAATTCTGGGCAACCTCCTTCATCTAGTTTTACAGAGATATACATCTACAATAACTTTGTACACCTTACATCAAGGTAGTTTTCACAATACTTTTCTCCTTGAAGATTAGAAGTGGTTGAAGCCAACATTTTCTTACTTAGAAATCCCTAAAACACAATGGAGAAAATAAGAAACTCTGGCTAATATACATTTGGTAAAGTTTGTGTGGATTAACAAAAAATATATTAGCCTTTTTTTCCCCTAGCTTCTGGGCACAGAGCTCTTAAAACCCTTAGAATTTCCTGAACAGTAGGAGTGCCTTTTGTTACTAATAAGTAATTCCCTTTGAACATTCTAGGTTTATGCTAATGAATGACTTTAGGTGCAGGGTGTGGGAAGAGAGCTAGATGAATTCTGGAGGGGGCTGGCCTCCAGGGGATCCAAATCCCTGATTAGATAATTGGAATTTTCAACCCTGTGTGGAGGTCAGGGTGGGTGGAAGGTCTGGAAATGAAGTTCAGTCACCTGCCGAAAGATTTAATCATTCATGCCTAGGTAATGAAACCTAGAGATTAAAAAGCTCTGAATGATAATATTTGAAGACTACCTTGTTACTAAACATCTCAATGTATAAGGAGGATGGTACACCCCAACTCCACAGAGACAGAAACTTGGGACCCTTCTGAATTCACTCTATTTACCTCTTCCTCTGGCTCTTCATTTGTATCCTTTTTAAACCAGTAATCACAGACACAAATTGACCCTTGAACAAAACTGCTTGAACTGTGCCAGTCCACTTATATGTGGATTTTTAAAAATAATTACAGTTTGTCCTCTGTATCCATGGGTTTGACATCTACAGATTTAACCGACCAAGATGGAAAAAAGTATTTTCACCATGACAACTGCAGTTTTTGACCTGTGGATTCCCAACTAGGGATTAAAATTTTTGTTTTCAATCTCCAACTTGGTTGAATCCTGTAATGTGAGGGACCTACTGTAGAGTCAGAAATTACATAAGAATATTCCACTGTGTAGGGCCTGGGACCTGTAATTCCCCATGTTGTTCAAGGATCAACTGCATAGCACTTTCTGTGAGTTATTCTGGTGAATAATCAAACTTGAAGGAAGATTGTGGAAACTGCCAAAATTGTAGCTAAAGAAATGCAGGTTACCTGGGAACTAGAGACTTAAAGATGATATCTAAGTGGGAACAATAATTGTGTCCTTAATCTGTGTGGTCTGCACTAAGTCTGGGTAAGATAGAATAGAATAGAATAGAATAGAATAGAATAGAATAGAATAGAATAGAAAAGTCACCTATTTAGGGGGTGAAAGAATTATGGTTAAAATAACATAATTTAATCTCTGAGCCAAATTTGCAATAGAGTAGAGTGGTCTAGGAGAAAATACTATTATATGGAATGCTAAAATTTAGAGATTTTGCCTATATATAGGGTGGGGCAAAAGTAGATTTACAGATGTGTGCATGCAAAACAGTTTATTTTATATTACTTTTTATTTATTATCGTATTATTTTCCATACAAACAACTGTAAACCTACCTTTGCCACACCCTGTACACCCATCTTGTACAGCCCATGTATAAGATGCTTTAGGAGAAGGGCAGAATAATCACTAGCAATAATTCATATGATTTTTAAATTTTTTCAAAAATCCATTTCAATGACAATAAAAATGATAAAAACAACAATGGAGCTACTATTGACCTATCATCTATCATGACCTCTATAAATTGCTTAGATTTTTCATAGTTCTCAGTAATCCTCAATCCTCATGACAACACTGTGAGGTAGGTATGCTCATTCTTATTGCCTTTCTTTCTCTCATTAATTTATTGTATATTGAAACTCGATAGACATTAGCCAGTGGGGAAGTTCAGGTCACATTGAAAATTCAAGGCCATCTCTCTCAACCTTACTATAACAGTAAGGGGAGGCTCATTGCTATTTTAAATCAGCTAAGAGGGCAATGCCATCATTCTGTCCTGCAGGGATTAGAAAACTCTAATGCCACAGTTCTTAAACTTTTCTGAAGATCACAGAACACAGAGAACAAAAGAATATAGGAGTAATTCCTTTCATAAATCCTGCACTATCTCACCAGCAGGAGTTTCTTTCTATCTAACCTCTGCTCCCACCCCACAAGAACTTCCAGGTCCAAAGTCTGAATTATTTAATGAAAACCTCACCTCTCTAGTCCCCATCCACTCTCATGTGGTATTCTTCACACAAATTAACTTCACGCATTCACAGGTGCATCTGTACCTCCAGTAACAATGTCTTAGTATCTTTTACAGTTCCTACAATTATCCAGTCTGACACTTTATTAATTATCACTAGACTGCCTCCAGCTTATGCAGCATTCACATACTGGGAAACTTTCCAAATACCTTTCTAGGGGCCAAGCTGCTGAACCTTCTCTGAATTTAAAAAGTTTTATGCAAGTCACTGGTGCTACAGAGATGTGCTAAAGATAACACATATAAGAAATACATCCTTGCAGCTTAGTCAAGGAACATTTGAAGTCTCAGGCAAGTCCCTCCTAGTGTAAGCCATTAATGTTATCATTGGCTGCACTGGAAATTAATTCCTTATAGCAGCCACAGGAAACCCCTGGGTCTACATTGACCCTAATGACAAATATGGTTTGGTTGAATTTCAATTTTACATGGCTTCAAATTAGGATTTTGGTAAATTCATGGTAGCTAATAATGCTATTTTGTTACCTATGTATTTAATCATTACTGAAATAAATTAATGCAGAAATATTTCTACATATTTTTATTGGTATTATTTAGCAGTGATGTCTACCAGTGTATATTTGACACTGAACATGGTACAAAGCACATTAAAAAGCATGAACTCTACCATCTAGGAATGTTCAATTAAAGCCAAACAAGGTACAGAAAAAAAAATTAAGATGCAGGTGGTTAACTAAACCAATTAAACAAGGAAGACAAGGCATTTGATCAAGTTGAGAAACTAATGCACGTTTTCAATAAGCTTAGGAAGATTTTGTAGCACCTCTTCTGTATATATCATTCTGTTAAGCTAAAACTCATTTATTGAACATTCACAATATGACAAGCACCATGGTAGACACTGATACTGCTACAAAGTTAAGAAACAATGTCCACTAGAATCCACTTCTGTATCTCATATTGGGAAGAAGATTAGACAAGCACTATGTTTCCAGATAGTTTGAGGTCGAGCAGGGGCTCAAAACCCTAATGTCTTAATGGGCTGAGTATGTACTGGAAGAATTAAGCTGTCTGGGTAAACTGGGGACAAATGGAATAGTAAGACTGCCTAAAAGAGGCAGGGATCCCTCTGCTCTCAATAAACATTATTTTACAGGAAAAGTATACAAAGAATTTTTATTTTTCCAAGTTTTCAAGATAATCTAGGAATCATTTTAATTTAGAATCTCATGACTTTTAAATTATAGCCCAATACTTTTAAATTTATACATGGGGGCCATATTCTGCTTAGGGGCTGCCAGTTGCTAATTTCTGATAAAGCAATAACTACCATAAGAATGAAGGAGGGGAAAGAAGATGATATTAGATTTAAAGAATTAAATGGTATCTTATTCATATATTTCATAGTAATGTATATGAAAACTTCATGACCTGGTGTTTTTCAGTTAAATAAAATTATAGAGACAACATTATGAAAATAACTTTCACAAAATGCACAAGCAGCTTTAAAAGATTCCTGCAGAGATAGTGGACTGGACCATGGATTACATGCATTATTACTATCATCAATATAGCGGAACTGATCACTGTTTTCATGAAATTTAAGGCCAAGAAAACAACAGAATCAGATTTGAATTTACAACAGTTACTCTGTTAGGTGAGTGGAGAATGAATTGAATCTGTTGACTTCTTGAGGTCATGAGATATGGCAAGAGGCTCTTGTGACAATCCAGGTAAGCAATGTCAAGATATTGAGAAAGAAGCAAGGGTGCAGAGAAGATGATATATGCAAATGACAAAGCCATTTAATGATTAGATTTGAAGATTGAGAAATATGTGTACAAAACCATTTCTGGGTTTGCAAGTGTTTATTACTGGGTGGATGTTGCTAAGACAAGCTAAGCTGGGAAAAAGCACAAAAAAAATTTTGAGGAAAATTTCAGACATGCACATTTTAGATGTGTTATGGTTATAGTCCCTTAATGATATCTGATAGGGATGTACATAATTTTTGTATAAAAACCTGCAGTT